CACTGGAAAAAACTCGTGCACCTATGGATGAGGACAGTGGGTGGGGAGTGAGGACGGAGGGTGGGGTGGGAACTGGGAGGAGGGGAGTTATGGGGGGGAAAAAGAGGAACAAATGTAATAATCTGTACAATAAAGATTTAATAATAAAAAAAAAGAAATACAAGAAAGCAATCATGCAGAATAGCCCAGCACAGATAATTAAAACAGGACATGCTGAGCACACACAAGGCAGTCCCTTCTATCATGCAGCCCTCCCCATATTAGAAAGGCAAGAACGCACACACACACACACCAGGCTAGCCAAATCAGAACCCACTCCTTCAAGCTATGTGAAACAGTAGGTATTGCAGGCATCCACCCCAACTACAACCAGCAAGCTAAAAGTATTCAACACATAAACTAACAGGGACCACTATTTCAAGAATGGGAACAGTAACTATTTCAACCAACTCAAAGGCACAAACACAGTCAAACAAAATGGGGAGACAGAAGAGTATACTCCAAGTGAAGGAACAAGAAAAAACTCCAGAGGAAAATCCTAATGAAACACAGTTAAGTAATTTGTCAGATAAAAAATTCAAAGCAACAGTCACAACCATATTCAATGAACTTGAGCATAGAATAGAAGAACTCAGAGAGCACTTGAATAGAGATAAAAAATGTAATAAAGAACCAATCTGAGATGAAGTATCCAATAATCAAAGTGAAGAATACATTATAAAAAATCAACAGCAGCTGTATTAATACAGAACAGATGAGTGAACTGAAGGCAAAATAGTGGAAATTATCCAATCAGAAACAAATCGGCATAGTCATTCATGCAAGTCAGTGCTTATGGGATCAACAGAATGCTAGAGCTAGAGGAGACTTTAGCCACCCAGTTTTTTAAAAAACTGAGGATGGTATAAGAAATCTGTGAGATACATAACATTCAAATTATAGGGATTCCAGAAGGAGGGGAAAGAAAGGAACAGAAAAAAATATTTGAAGAAATAATGGCTGAAAACTTTCCTAATCTAGGGAAGGAAACAGATATTAAAGTCCAAGAAGCATAGAGAGTCCCAAACAAGATGGACCCAGAGGAAGGAAAAAAAAAAACAAAGAAGAAAAGAAAAAAAAAGATGAACACAAAGAGACCCACACCAAGATATATTAAAATGAATACAAAAAAGCTAAGACAGAAAGAATGAAACAAGTTAGATACAAAAGAAATCCTATAAGACTAAACTGATTTCTCAGAAGCAATTTTACAGGCCAGAAGAAAGTGGGAGAAAATATTTAAGTGCTAAAATAAAAATAAAAACTACAATATAGAATTCTATATCCAGCAAGGTTATCATTCAGAGTGGAAAGAGAGATAAAGAGTTTACCAGATTACCAAAGACTAAAACAGTTCAGCCCTGGCTGATGTGGCTAAGTTGGTAGAAACATCATCCCATGTACCAAAACATTCCAGGTTCCATTCCCAGTCAGGGCATATTTCTAGGTTGCAGGTTCAATCCCCGGCAGGGCACATATTGAAGGCAATCAATCAATGTTCTCTCTCATATTTCTCTATCTATCTATTTCTATCGCATTCCCTCCTTCCCTCTCTGCCTTCCCCTT